TGTGTGTGTGTGTGTGTGTGTGTGTGTGTGTGTGTGTGTATGCACATGTGTAAAGGCTAGAGGAGACCGTGGGTGTCATTCTTAGGAACACTGTCCACCTCCTTTGACGTAGAGTCTCTAATTGGCCTGAATGCCACCAGTTAGGCTAGAATGGCTGTCCAGCAGACTCCAGAGCTCCTCCTGCCTCTGTCTCCCCAACACCAGGGAGACAAACATGGCTCACAAAACCTAGAATGTTTGTTTGTTTGTTTGTTTATCAAGACAGGGTTTCTCTGTGTGGTTTTGGTGCCTGTCCTGGATCTCACTCTGTAGACCAGGCTAGCTTTGAACTCACAGAGATCTGCCTGGCTCTGTCTCCTGAGTGCTGGGATTAAAGGTGTGCTCCATCATTGCTGGCAAAACCTAGCATTTTTATGTAGGTTTTGGGAGTCAAACTTAAGCCCTTGCACTGGCTAGGCACAAGCTTTATTGACTGGGTCAATAATTATTATGTTTGGAAGTCATAAAACAGATAATTAATAATATTAAATGTTCAGCTTCCATTGATACTCAGAACCATGATACTCAGAACCCATAAAGCATGGTACATGGTTTCACAGTAAGTAGTAGATGGTTTCACTCTCTTCATTGGATTCTGGAGCTGGCCTTCTGGGTGTTTCTCTATATTTTCCCCCACTGCACACTGACGTCCCTTTAATGGCACCCACAGTGTCCTACAGATGTCATCTGTTCCTGGACAAAAATGAGCAGACCTGGGAAGCTCATCAGTAGGAGCTAAGGATGGAGTCCTGGCTCTAACCATCTAAGGTCCAGAAAGTTTTCTTTTTATAATTTTAGAAACTTAGGAGAATGTGTTACAAAATTCTTAATTGTTTTAAGACTTATTGTTTGTGTCTAATAGAAAATGGATGTCCTCTCAGATGAGAAAATGTAACAGAAGTGGGTGAGAACATGGGAAAGGCATTTAACTCAGCTGTGCATCAACTGAAAAATATACCTATGGAAAGGCAAGAGATGTATTACAAGGACATTTTAACAGTTCTTTGTCTTATACTAAAATGTTTATAGTATATTGAACAGAGACCTAAATTGCTAAGAAAATAGTCAAGAGGAAATAGTATAATTAAACTTTAGGTTTCCAGATTATTCTAGGGTAGATATGAAAAGAAGAAGCAAACAGGTGTTTTTTGTTGTTGTGTAAAAGTCAGTGTTGGCATAAACTCACCCTAGAAATGGCTAGATGACTCTATCAGCTGACTTATTTTTTCAACAAGTCTTACAAAACAAGCAAACCACATTTTCAAATCAGGATTTTGAGAATTCCTGCTACATTGAACTACTAACCCACAAAATAGAAGCGAGGCCTGAAACTGAAGTCTTGGTAGCTCTGATTGGAGAGCCTACAGCTTCATAAAGCTTAGCAGAGGGAAACTAGTACACCATGTTCCCTAACTGACTGCTTAACCCTGAGCTTGGGGAGAACCAGTGTGCATCCAAACCCAAGGCCACAAGAAGAAAGAGCTACTGCCATTGATAAAAAGCAGAAGGTGACAGTCAGGCTGCCCAGTGGTGTTACTTCAAGGTAAGGGCTGGTGCTCAACCACCCTTCAAAGTTCCTCTCAACTTCCAAAGATAATTACCAGTAGACAGACATGAACATCAATGCATCTTTCCCATTTCTATGGCATCATATAATTTCCATTCCTCACAACAGTATTTCCTAGAATAACTTTTGAAATCCCTAAATCATTTCAAAATTTCTATGATAAAGTTGATTGGCTGGTAATAACATTAAAGGTTAAGAAAACATGGTTTTGCTTAAAATAAGAATGTCTGATTGGCTCAAAAGACAGTAGTTGTCAGCATTGAATGTATAGAGTGGTGAAAGTCTTCAGGGGAGGGGAACATTTGTTTCTGTCTCAGTTTCCTTAAACCATTCAAATACTGGAAATTTCTACAATCCACTATCACTGTTGTAAGAAAGCTGCTTAATCCCTAGTCTCCACAAACTTAGTGGAAAGTATGAATCTACTTGTCCAATGGAAACACAAGTTTAAATCTACCATTGAGGAATTATGTTTACCGTTACATTATAGGTGAATTTGACAAGAGCAGACCTATGCAAGACAAGGTCCCAGAAGTAACCAAGGAAGATGAGACAGCCTCAGAATCATGACATACAGAAGATGTGGGTAGGTCTACATGAATCCAGGTGTCTGGACATACTATTTTAACCTCTTCTACTTCACATTCTTGAAAATATTTGGTTATGTTCTAGAAATATCAGATAAAAAACATTATCAGATTGTAAAGATGTGTGGGTTGATAAGATGGCCCAATCAGTGAGTACTTATTACACAAGCATGAGGAAAACATGTGGGTAACCCAAGTGTGGGAGGGGTAGCATGAAGACTTGCCTGCCCCCACTAGGCAGACAGCCTAGCCAATCAGTGAGCCCTGTGCTCCGAGAGAGACCATGTCTCAAAAAATTAGGTGGAGAACTGTTGACATTGAATGTCAGTCCCCAATGCTATGCATACTTCAAAACAGTGGATAAATACGTGAAGGCTGGTAAGCACATTGTTCTAGAATTCACCCATGACTTTGAAAGGTCATGGACACACAGAAGAAGTCAAAGTTCTTGTTATTATGGAGGTGCTCACAGTAGCAGTGTCAACATGAAAGAGCTGTTTGTTTTAAACAGACATTTCTGGTTAAGATCCCCACGCAAGCTGGGTATGGTGATTCCCACTTACAATCCCAGCACAAGGAGAGCCGAGACAGCATCACAGCCAGTTTAAGGACAGCCTGGGCTACACAGTTGAGATCCTGTCTAAAACACAACAAACAAACAAAGACAATCCTGTTGCAAAGACCTACACTAGATCAAAACAGAAACCCACAAGAAACTCAACAGTTCCACTCAGTGCACCAAGGTAGAAAGAAAAAAATTATTATCAATTTGGGTATGAAATATCTCAAAAGAAAATTGCTGTCAAAGATAGTGAAGCTACCAGAAAGAGTCCATAGAATATACTGTGAGACCATCGGCTGGGTAATATCTGCATTTTTTCCTTTTATTGAAAATAGATTTTTCTCACATAATATATCCAGATTATGATTTCCCCTCCCGCTACTCCTCCCAGTTCCTCCCCACCTCCCCTCCCATCCAGATCCACTCTCTTTCTGTTTCTCATTAGAAAACAGGCTTCTAAGACATAGTAATATAAAAGACAAAACAAATATTAACACATTTGAATTGAACAAAATAAAACATAAAGAAAAGAGCCCAAATCAAGGCACAAGAAGCAGAAGTCCACTCATTCCCACACTCAGGAATCCCATAAAAAACACTCAAATGGAAGCCATAACAGATGCCCAGAGGACCTGGTGCAAACGTATGTGTGAGGGCCCTGTGCACGCTGCTTCAGTCTCTGTGAGTTCATACAAGCTTTGCTCATGTTGACTTGGAGCGTCTTGTTTTCTTGGTGTCCTCCATCCCTTCTTGCCATAACACTCCTTCTGCATCCTTTTCTGAGGGATTTCCCTGAGCTCTGGGGGGGGGGGGATTTGATGAAGACATCCTGTTTAGGGCCAAGTGTTCCAAGGTCTCTTCCTCTCTGGCTGTGGGTCTCTATATTTGTTTGGCTGGATAATAGCTTAAGGTTGGACAAATTATGGATTTTTTTGAGCAGTTAAATTAAAACAAGTGCCTCTTGAGAAAAAACATAGACAAAAATTCTTTAAACTAATTAAAAATTAATGTCATCGACTTGCATCTTCTTTTGAATTTGTGATGGAGTCACACACACTAGGGCTCATTGGCCATACTAAATCTAATATTATGTAAAAACACAATGCACCATGTTTAACTAGGATTACCCCAGGAATGGATACATTGTCTATATATTTTAAAATCTGGCTGTGTAATTAATCATATTAGTAGAGTAAGAAAAGTAAAGACCATTTCAACTGATAGAGCACAGGCATTTGCCTATGTTTAGTAACTATTTATGGTAAATCTCTCCTAGCAATGGATGGAGGGATAGTAAGTTAAATAAGATATGTTCATAAACACACTTAAAACTAATGTTGTACTTCATGGCAAAGATGGAACACTTTCTTCTGTGATCGTTAATAAGACAAACATGCCTCTTAGTGTCCGTTCTCAGCTCTGGGGTTTGGTTCATACTACACATTGTATTTACATGTAAAGTAATAATAATGATGAGAATGACAAAGGAAGTCATTTACTGGGCACTCATTCAACACTGAAAATAGGATATGTTAAAAGGCTATAAGGCAAACACGAATTTAATATAGTCAAGTGACTCCCAAGCAGTATGGACATGTGTATTTTAGTTTATGAATACTATTAACAACTTATGAATGAAATAGTGTAAAATAACTGTCATCTTAACAGCATAGAAGAGGTAGCATACTCCATATAAATTAACTCAGCATTGCAGACTTGAACATTTCGAGCTAAACTTCTTTGGCTAAGATGAAGCTGTTATTCTCTATGGAGAGACGTGTGGCACTTATGGATAAAAACCCTGGGATAGAACTATGTCAGCTCTTCTCAACCACCCAACAGACTGAACAAACATTTCAATTCAAACCCAACCAGGCTTTGATTTTCCATCCTTAGAAAACCACAAATGGACTACAATTTAAAGCAGTCAATCTGAATAACCAAGATTGTTTTTAAATGAGCAACCTTAGTGTTCCGGTGACTGATTTGTAAGATTCTGTAGCATGAGTTATCTGCCTGGGTGCTCTTGGTATTTGGACCATGTAGTTCTTTGCCTTGGGGAACCATCCCAAATGCTGTAGGTCAGCTCTTTATCCTGCACACACCGATGCCTGGAGCCTCCTCCAGACCCTACAGCTGTGATAACTAAACCTGTCTCCAGGTATTTTGTAAGGTCCCCTGAAGTATACATCAGCCCTCAAGAAGAACCGTGGCAATAAAAGCCCACAATGAAGGTAGTGTGCTAGAGAGGTTAAACCCAGAATAAAGATCACTAGAACAAAATAGGCCAACACAAGGCCCAATGTCCTTTGAGCTCACAAGGAGCCAATATGGTTAAAAGAGGGAAATATGTTTCTCCCAAATGGTTGTAGAAGAACTGGATGTCCAAATGGGGATGAGACCCTCATCCTGGCTTCTTGGCGCATATGGAAATTAGCTTAAAGTGAAAACCTATTCTAAATACATTATGCCCAGCTCTGCTGTTCTAGAAGAACATCCCTAACAACGGAGTGAGAAAAGATTTTTCTTTTAGATCCAACTACCAAATTACAAGAGCCAAAAAGAAGGAAAGCTTCATACACTTTACTCTGTAGAAGCTGTTTATTTCTCTTCATTTAAAGACATGAATAAGAACACAAAGAGTCCATGCCACCAGACTGGGAGAAAATACACATGACACTTAGAAATCAAGCGAGTTGACATCATGCACATATGTGAGTGTGAGTGCAAAATATACAAGGAAGCCTTATGGCACAGCAAAAAGTAGCTCAGATTATTTTTTATATTATGAATTATGTACATGATTCAAAAAGACAGGGCTTCACCATCCAAGGGAACTAATGCAATTACTATGATTTCATTACACAGTGAATGTCCTAACACATTTTAGAATGGTAAAAATTAAAGTAATTGTCAAAATCAGAAATCTGTGTGAATGCCAGGCGGTTGGGAGGCTAATGCTTTGCTGGTGGGAATGGAAGGTTGTAGAAATTCTTACCAAAAAAATCAGACTCTCACTAACAGAGTTAGCAAGCTTTGTCTACACACTTACTGCAAGTGTGTAGAAATCCATGTCCAAGCAAAATAAATGACATTGAAAGATTATTCCTGACACTCTAACGCATGAAACCCCAAACTGAAACTACCTTCCTCCTCAGCAGTAGATGAGTATGCAGATTGTGGTTTGTTTATATAAAAAACACCCCTCACCCATAAGCAGGAAGAAGCTCTTAATACATGATAATGCTTGTATAAATAAATATATGTATAAATTAAAAATGTGCTTAGCAGCAGTCAGTCCAAAAGAGGGTGCTCTGTGCAATTCACTGTGTAAGTTTGCAGAGCCATGTATCCATGTGCAAAGAGGTACAGAAGAGCATTCTGGGAAATAGTTTCCACCTTATTCCAGGTGTTCTTCACTTGGGTGAATGTATTTATTAAAGCATATTCTTTCAAAAGGTACAGGTTGTATTATATGTAAACTCTATCTCCATAGACCAGTACTTAGGAAAGGATACAATGGGAACAAAACGATCTCTTTTGGAAGGGGCTGGGGAGATGACCTTAAAGACCTTGCTGCATCTTGTCCAAGAGGACAAGAGTTTGAATCCCCACAACCAATATAAATGCCAAGTGGGTGTGGTGGTCTGTCTGTGATTCCAGTCTCAGAAGACAGAGCTAGAGGAAGCCAGATAGCACACTGGCTAGTCAGGACGTCAGTAGATCTGGGCTCAACTGAGAGACTGCTTCAAAGAGAAGGGGGGAGGTACTAAGGATGATTCCTGACATTAAGCTTACACACACACACACACACACACACACACACACACACACACACACACACACACGGAAGCATACATATATGCACTGTATGGAAGCATGCATATACACACCCCACACACAAATGTGCACACACTCACACATATGGAAACATACATATACACACACCACATACACATACACAAGCACTCACACAGAAGCATACATATACACACACCACACGCATATACATGTGAAAAGAAGAAAAGACCCTAAAAGGTGCCTTTTTTGTTCAATTTGATAATACTTGCCTGTAATCTCAGCCCTCAGCCCTCCTAAGGCAGCAGAGTCTCTATTTTGAGGCCTGCCTGGGCTATATCTAGCATGATCCTGCCTTAAAAAAAAAAAAGCAAAAAATAAAAAACTAAATGAACATTCTTCTTTCCAAACTTACATGCAATGCCTTTACAGTATGAATAAGACAGGAGGTGTAACCCTAAATCTGCTTCCTTTTCCTCATGAATTATTTGTCGATACGGGTCCTTCCTCTCATGAATTATTCATAGATGATACAAAATAAACTTTTTAAAGTTTCTAACAAGAATCTAGCTTTGACCGTTAAATGCTATTCAGGTATGTATAGGAACTCCGTGACTGTTTGATGACAATGGCCTTCATTCCCCTATTGCAGCTGTAAGAATGTGACTTACCAACCAGAGGCTACATCCTACCTCACTCCAGTCACAAGCTTGCCACTAATCTTTGTTTTCAGTTCTGTACTGTTTTGAAAACTGCTACGAAATGATCGTATAGTAATCAAAAGTTAATGGCTGGTTACTTGTTGAAGACCTGCGTATCATGTATCCATTTGCCATTTCTTTCCGATCTGTGTGGTGAGAAAGCACAGAAACCGCCTGTGCCCGCCAGGAACAGGAAGTCTGCCCTCATTTCCAGAGTTCTACTGCCCTCTGCTGACTCCACATCCTGACTCCAGGGAAACAAAGCCATTGGTACTCTGAGATCCTTGCTGATTCCACATCTTGTATCCATGGAAACATAGAATGCCTGCGAACTCTGTGATCCTTGCTAATCCTCAATTAGGCACCTATGGAAATATGGATACATGGGAACTCTGAGATCCTTGCTGGTCTGACTTAATGGATGTGGAAATATGGAATACATCAGAACTTGGATATTTTTGCTGATTGATACCCCTGCATCTATGGGGACATGGACTCCATGGGAACTGAGATTCCTGCATATAAATGAAGATGCATCTGATGTCCCAACCACTTCATGGCCACCCCAGTCAGATGATCTTAGTTCACTGTCTACCATGTCTACTAAAGAGCAAACATGAATCTGTATAAATTCAGAATTACATGTATTATAGCCTTTAAAAAGTGTGGGGTGACCATCAATACTACATATGGTCTAATATGAACCTCTTCAAAAATGAAGTTGCCTTGAGCAAGATAGTTCAGCAGGTGAATGTGTCATGTCTGCTGCCTGATCTGACACCCCAAATTCCATTCTTGAACCCACATATCAGAAGGAGAGAACCAATTTCCACAGTGGTCCTCTGACCTCCATATAAATGTGTTGTGGCATGTATGCTCTCTTACGCATACAATATAAACAAATAAATGCAATAAAAATTTTAAGTAAACTGTTTTAATATCTGTTGTTTCCATACATTATTTTTACATGGGATAATTAAAACAGCAAGTGTAATAGCTCTGTATAGCATTGTTTTTTGTTCGTTTAGAGATTTGGTTTGCAGGCACATTTTGATGAAATATTTTTATTTGCTGATTTTCATTTTCTCCATCTCTACTTTGCTGAATGTGGACCTCCAGATAAGACCTTGATTCACGATGATTGGCAATTTAGAGGCAAATTTCTCGCCATTCTCTGTCTATTGGAGATGACATCTGGTGATTTCAGCTTGGTCCTGTTGGAGGGCTCTGTTTTCCCCTGCTGGCTTAGGATAGTCATTTAATGAGAACTTCTCTGGCTTTGGGGGTCAGAGCAGTGTTATTGTACTGCACTGAATAGAGAGATGGAGGATGCTACTCCCATGACTGCTGGATTCTTTCTGAGATCTCAGCATGTCCAACCCCAGGCCATGGATCATGTGAGGACAGAGAGCTACAGATGCCACCCAATACAAAATTAGAAACTTACCTAAATACAAGGGACTTTGTGGTTTCTTCTACTCCCTATTTACTAGAGTGTACGGTTCTGAAACGTGAGTTTTGTAGATGACATTGTTGAATCACAGTGTCTAAAGACCCAAGGCAGCCCACATGGGGGATGGTTTTCGTTCTCACTGGCTTGGTGTTGGCAGCACATGTCCCATTACATATTGCTTCTGTACTTCAGGCTAATGGATGCCTGTGTTGATTCCTCGTAGCAGTTCTTCTTCATCTATCTTACTCCTGTTTCTATGACTGCAGCAGAGAGGGTCCTGTATCCTGCAATCTAGAGGAACTGATGTGAGCATCTCACTGTGAAGGCTCACGATGCTGGAAAGCCAACTGTTGCAAAGCTGTAAGCACAATAAGCTGACGCTGAGCTCGGAGGCCTTGAGAGGGCCTTCTGCCTGGGTCGTGTGGTGGTGGCAAGACCATGGAACCCAGCCCACAGTGACTGGAGACGGAGCACTGCTCGTCCATCACTGCTGTTAACTGCCATCGCTTGCACTGACTTTGAGCCCGATTTGCTCTTCCTGTTAATTGGTCTCTGTAATACTTGTCTGGTTGTCTCAGGTTTTCACTGAACATGCTTTCTCTAATATGGTATCAGAAAATTAGAGTGCAGGTCTGCATCTAACAGTGAACAAGATGAGACTGTTAGCTGCAGTCCTTAGCTCCCTGTTCAACAGTGGCTGGGAAACTGCTGGCTGTCCATTCCCACGTGGAAAGGTTCAATGGGAGAAGCATGGTCACACTCACAGTGAGTCCCTAGGAAGAAGAAATTGCAAAGGTTCCTGCTAAGGAAGTAGAGTAAGATTGAGTCACATTGTTTCTACTGTCTGAAAAGAATTTCTGGGTCCCCTGTCCTCTCTGATGTACAGAGTTTTTTCCTGTTTATTGTAGTCTGTCCACTGACACTGATATTGGCTCTTTGTGCAGGCTGGAGGATGGAGGGGGGTTACTTAGGGCAGATTAACTGCAAACATTTGTAGGTCAGGCTTGAAATGTCCCAGCCAGTACAAAGACCTCAATACTAACAGATGGACTCTAGCCTATTCAACGGCAGACAGTTTTGTGTGGAGTTCTTGCCCAATCTTTCATCCTAAATGTGCCCAAATCCCTGGGTACAGAGCTGGCCCATCTCTGTGTCTCTGCATTCAATAATGGCTGCCTTGGGACGACAGGAAACAGCAGTGATGGACGAGCAGTGCTCCGTCTCCAGTCACTGTGGGCTGGGTTCCATGGTCTTGCCACCACCACGACCCAGGCAGAAGGCCCTCTCAAGGCCTCTGATCTCAGTGTTAGCTTATTGTACTTACATCCTAGTGACAGTTGGTTTCTAGCATCGTGAGGCTTTATAGTCTGTGGTTCACATCAGTTTATCTAGATTTCAAGATACAGACAATGAGTTTTCTCTATCAGAATATACTTTTCTTCTGTTTCTTCTTTAAACTGCTCTTTAATTTCTCCAGTTCTCTCCTGATAATCTCCTAAAAGCCAGTAATATATCCAATACTCAGAAATTTCTTATGAGTTTGACAATGTCAGACTCTCATGACAGTGGGTTCTCTTTGTAAATCATGAGAGGGAGGAAGTTTGCCAAATCTGATGGTGGTCACAGTATCGTCTTTTCCTAGAGATCTCTGTGCTTCAGTGAGTAGCTGTTGAGGTTTCCACAGCTGGTGTTTGGATGCAAAACAATTGCACCCAATTTGCTTTAAAGTTATGGTTTCATTCTTCTTCTTGTGGAAATGCTTATTTTTTAATTTGCTATGATGTGCAGTGACTTAAGACAGATGAGATGGTTCAGTGAATCAAGGTATTTGCTGCCAAGACAGATGACCTACGTATAAGACTGGAGACCCATGGAGTAAAAGGAGAGAGTCAGTTTTTGCAAGTCCATTTATATGGACCTTCCACATGTGCTGTGGCACAAAAATCCATCTTTCTCACCCACAATGAATAAATAAAATTTTAAATTAAAAAAAAAGATAGGCATTGCCTTCTCTCCATGGAACAGTCCAGCTGAAGGCAGTTGTGTCAAACTGCATGATACCTCTGCCATGCTAACAAAAGGGTTACAGGACTAAGGAAACGCCTTGTGTTCCTATCACATCTCAGCCAGTAGGAAGGGAAATGGTATCATGCAAATATTTCAAGGGAAAGATTCCAAAGGACACCTGTCTCTTTTGTGCTTTCATCTTGACTTCTAATTTTTCCTCTTCAACTCTTTTGTTATGGTTGGCCTTGAAGCCTATTCCTGCTCTGACAAGATGTCCCCCTGGGTATCACCTTTATCCTAGTAGTTATGCCTACACCTATGACTTGTGACCTGTGTCTTCACAGACAGTGTTTATATGGCAGATTCTATTCTAGCTCTTGAGTATGGTGCAGCCCTACCTAGACTTCCACTTTCTAGAAGATTCTTCACAAGGCAAGTACAGTGTGTTACTAGGTAAGACACATAGCAGGCAATACATGAAACACACGAAATAATAGAAGGTTCTAGAAGGAAGAAGGCAGCATAGTTCACAGGGCCAGGCCAGAACTGGGTGAGGCTTAGCCACCTTTATTAGCCCAGGCTGACCTAAGTGGCCCAGCTCCATTGCTTGTTTCAGGAATGAGGCATGACCAACAAGGAGAAAAGCCAGAAGTTCACAGTGCAGAGAAGACTCCTCTGGGAAGGATCAAGCTCATGGAGAGGAGATCACTCCATGTGTCCCCAGTTCCCCCTGACCTGTAAATGTCAGTGGACATTGAGCAGCCTTTCTTTTCAAAGTACTCTGGCAGAAAGTGCATGTTAGGTTTCTTCCCTGACATGTCTAACAATTGCAAATACTAGGAGTGTCTTTATTATACCAAACCATGGTGTGTGAAGATGAACGGCTCCAAGAGCCATATAAAAGGCTTCAACCAAATCCTTCTTGATGAGTTGTTTTGTTTTATTCGAGGAGATTGTATAGGAAGACTGCAGAAAAAGCATTCTTCCCCACCCACCTTTAAAAAACCATTTTTTATTTACAGAATGTCATGGCACCCAATTTCTAAATTTTAAAAATTAATAATATTCAGCATAGGAGAAAGGGTGCTCTGTTCATAGTTACAAAAGTGTCTTGTAAATGAGTGTTATGTTTCTTTATGCAAAACAAAAGTTATTTATATGATTCAATGGACAGGTCGATATTTTAAATATAAATATTTGAAATATCCACTTCTTGAGAAGGCAAAAAGTTCAAATAACTGAATTTCAGAAACTAGAAAATAAATATTTCCCAAGTAAAAAAGAATGGTTCTTTTTTTTTAAAATTGAAAATAGATTCTTTTCTTATACACTATATACTAATTATAATGTCCCCTCCCTCCCTCTTCCCAGGTCCACCTCCCCTCCCCTCCAGATCCACCCTCTTTCTGTCTCTCATTAGAAAAGAACAGGCTTCTAAGAGATAACAACAAATCATGACAAAATAAAATAGAGTAAAATGAAGGAAAAAAAAAACTATTATATTGAAGTTGAACATGGCAACCCAGCAGGAGAAAAAAAGTCCAAAAGTAGGCACAAGAGTCAGAGACCTATTTCTTCTCAGGGTCAGGAGTCCCATAGAAATACCAAGTTAACTGCTATAATATTTATGCAGAGGACCTGGTTCAGACCCGTGCAGGCCCTGTGCTTGCCGCTTCAGTCTCTGTGAGCCCATACGAGCCCTGCTTAGTTGATTCAGAAGGTCATGTTCTACTGTCCTCCATCCCCTTTGGCTCTTTCACTCTTTTTCTCTCTTTTTCCACAGGGTTCCCTGAGCTCTGAAGAAATTTGATGAAGGCCTCC